AATAAAATTATTTACTTAATACTCTTTAGTAGTAATTGGTAACTCAGTATGATGATTTTAGATTGATCTATGCTGTTGCACACATAAGCAGCAAATCCAGCTTTGTTGCTGAATAGAGTTGCATTACACAAACATCCCCAAACTGATTTGTCTATTCACTTGGTGATGAGTAGTTGTGATGTTTCCATTTTAGGGTAATTATGAATAAAGCTGCTATGAACATCCCTGCACAAGTCTTTGTGTAAACATATGCTTTAATTTGTCTTGAATCAACACCCAAGAGTCAATTATTACTTCAGGTAATTTAAAAGACTATGTTGCTCCACATTATTACCAAAAATTGATGTTGTCATAGTTTTTAATTTTGATCATTCTAGTGCTTGTATAGTAATATATCATTATATATTAAACTTAGAATTCCTGATGCCTAATGATTTTGAGAATTTTAATGTCATTTGTATATTTTCTTTTGCCAAGTGTCAGTTTAGGTCTCTTTATTTTTCCACTGTTTGCTTTTCTTATTTATTAGTTGTATTTTGTATGTTTTTGACATGAATTTCTTTTCAGAGAGTAGAGATTATGAATATTTTATTCCAGTCTTACTCTCTAAATTCATGTTCTCTACAATAAGTTTTAAAATTTCATGTAATATGTAATAGCTTATTTCTTATGGTTCTTGCTTTCTGTGTTCTGTCTTAGAAATGTTACATTCTATGGGGTAGCAAAGATATTCTCCTTTTTTATAAATTTTACAGAATTTAAGTTCTGTTTCTTTTCTTAACCGAGGTCTATTTTAGAAGTATAATTAAAATTTTGCATATGTTGTGAAGCTGGAGGCAAAGTTCTTTTTCTCCTCATAAGTATATTCAGTTGCACCAGATTACTGGAAGAAATAATTATCCTATTTTCAGTGAATTATCACATTTTTTACTTGATAAAATATAACTGAGCTTGTTAAATGTGTTTATTTCTTTTCTTTTTATTATGTTCTAATTATCTATCATTGCACAAATGCTATAAGTTTTGATTACTATAGTTTTATAAGTTTGAAGTTCTATAGTATGTTCCATCAAGTTTTGTTATTCTTTTCCCAGTGAAGGTATTCTTAAAATAAGTTAGATGAAGCTTAAATTTCTTGGAATTCAACAAAGCTGTTCTAAACTTACTGACTAATTTAGAAATAGCTGACATCATAATAGACTTCAGTCTTTTAAACTACAGGTTAAAAAAAATTTTAAGTCTTTTAAAATTTCTGTCATGTTTTATAATATTAAGTACTTTATTGCTAAGTTCTCCATGTTTCTGATGTCACTGAAGGTGAAATGTACTTTTATAAAACTGTAATTTAAAATTTCAATTTCCAATGTTTTGTTAAAAACAAGTATAAAAATATTCTTATACTTGAGTAATTGATAAACTAAATTATTGGTTCTAAATTAACAGTTTATGTACATTTTTCTTGACATATTGACCTTTTTACTTCCAGTAATATATTAAATATAACTGATGTTTGTTGATATTCTAGGTTTTTTCCAAATCCTAGGGAAAAAAATTTCAGTGTTCCACCATTCATTATATTAGCTGGAGAATTTCATCGATTCCTTTTGCCTAATTGAACAAGATTTATGCTTTGCCTATTCTATTGAAAACTTTTCTTTTAATATAATACATAGATATTGAATTAAATGACTATTTTCCCACCTCTATTAAGATGATCACATTTGTACATGTGTAGAACCACAGCTTTTTATTGTAAAAGTATAAAAAGACTAATAATTCTGCAACCACAACATAAAATACAGTTTTAAACAGTTTCACTAAAATACAGATTAAACACAGTCTATTAAGCCAAATAAAGAAAAAGTAACACCTAGAGAGATGGGACTGTGACAAGCAAATAAGCCTAAGAAGTGGATGTCTTACTGACCACCATGACCATTATGGGGCTTCCCTGATGACTCAGATGGCAGGAGATTGGATTCAATCCCTGGGTCAGGAAGAAGGGAATGTCTACCCACTCCAGTATACCTGCCAGGAGAATTCCATGGCCAAGGAGCCTGGTGGGCTACAGTCCATGAGTTCCCAAGAAGTCAGACACGACTGAGCAAATAACACTTTTGGCCATTATAAGGAAAGATTCCTAATCCAATATTTACACTTTTAAAAAATAACATTTTGGAGGCTTTTTTTTTTTGTGCTGCTCAATTAGGTAACCACAGTAACTTGAAAATATTATACAAGTTATGATTATTGAAAGGATTTTCACTTGATATCAGCATATGTAGGTGAGCATTCCACAAAAGAATGAGCTCAGAGATTATTCAGTTCAGTTCACTTGAGTTAAGTTCAGTTGCTCAGCTATGTCCAACTCTTTGTGACCCCATGGACTGAAGTAGGCCAGGCCTCCCTGTTCATCACCAACTCCGGGAATTTAGTCAAACTCATATCCATTGTGTTGGTGATGCCATCCAACCATCTTATTCTCTGTCATCCCCTTCTCCTCCCACATTCAATCCTTTCCAGCAACAGGGTCTTTTCAAATGAGTCAGTTCTTTGCATCAGGTGGCCAAAGTGTTGGAGTTTCCACTTTTACATCAGTCTGTCCAATGAATATTCAGGACTGATTTCCTTTAGGATGGACTGGTTGGATTTCCTTGCAGTCCAAGGGACTCTCAAGAGTCTTCTCCAACACCACAGTTCAAAAGCATCAATTCTTCTGCACTCAGCTCTCTTTATAGTCCAACTCTCATATCCATACATGACTACTAGAAAAAACATAGCTTTGGCTAGGTGGACATTTGTTAGCAAAGTAATGTCTCTGCATTTTAATAAGCTGTCTAGGTTGGTCATAACTGTTCTTCCAAGCAGCAAGTATTTTTAAATTTCAAGGCTTCAGAAACCATCTACAGTGATTTTGGAGCCCCCTGAAAATAAAGTCTGCCACCGTTTCCACTATTTCCCCATCTATTTTCCATGAAGTGTTGGGACAAGAAGCCATGATCTTCATTTTCTGAATGTTGAGTTTTAAGCCAACTTTTTCACTCTCCTCTTTCACTTTCAACAGAGGCTCTTTAGTTTTTCATTTTCTGCCATAAGGGTGGTTCAGTTCAGTTCAGTTCATTTCAGTTGCTCTGTCGTGTCTGACTCTTTGTGATCCCATGAACTGCAGCACGCCAGGCCTCCCTGTCCATCACCAATTCCTGAAGTCCACCCAAATCCATGTCCATTTTGTCGGTGATGCCATCCAACCATCTCATCCTCTGTCGTCTCCTTCTCCTCCTGCCCTCAATCTTTCCCAGAATCAGGGTCTTTTCAAATGAGTCAGTTCTTCGCATCAGGTGGCCAAAGTATTGGAGTTTCAGCTTCAACATCAGTCCTACCAAACAACACCCAGGACTGATCTCCTTTAGGATGGACTGGTTGGATCTCCTTGCAGTCCAAGGGACTCGCAAGAGTCTTCTCCAACACCACGGTTCAAAAGCATCAATTCTTCATCGCTCAGTTTTCTACACAGTCCAACTCTCACATCCATACATGACCACTGGAAAAACCACAGCCTTGACTAGATGGACATTTGTTGGCAAAATAATGTCTCTGATTTTGAATATGCTGTCTAGTTTGGTCATAACTTTCCTTCCAAGGGGCAAGCGTCTTTTAATTCCATGGCTGCAATCACCACCTGTAGTGATTTTGGAGCCCCCCAAAATAAAGTCAGCCACTTTTTCCACTGTTTCCCCATCTATTTGCCATGAAGTGATGGGACCAGATGCCATGATCTTAGTTTTCTGAGTGTTGAAAGCCAACTTTTTCACTCTCCTCTTTCACTTTCATCAAGAGGCTTTTTATTTCCTCTTCACTTTCTGCCATAAGGATGGTGTCATCTGCATATCTGAGGTTATTGATATTTTTCCCAGCAATCTTGATTCCAGCTGTGCTTCCTCCAGCCTAGTGTTTTTCATATATACACTGCATATAAGTTAAATAAGCAGGGTGACAATATACAGCCTTGACGTGCTCCTTTCCCGATTTGTAACCAGTCTGTTCATCCATGTCCAGTTCTAACTGTTGCTTCCTGACCTGCATATAGATTCTCAAGAGGTAGGTCAGGTGGTCTGGTATTCCCATCTCTTTAAGAATTTTCCACAGTTTGTTGTGATCCACACAGAGATGATTATGAATCATTATACCACATTAACATTAGAGAAGTGCAGCTTATAAAATCCATGTGGAATATTAAATAGGATAGAAATAATTTGAATATCTTTGAGAATTAAATTTAATTGGACCCTAATTTCCTTCCATTATTTTCTCAAATTTAATTATTCTAGTATATAAATATATACAGTGACATCCAACCACCATATATTTCCTCATATATGTCTCCCCAGAAATACTGAAGACAGCAGAGCATGCTTCAAGAATTTTCAGCAGAATGTCCTCTCTTAATGACACCACCTCGCATCCTTCTGCCTTCCTTCTGCTGGGTGTACCTGGTCTGGAAGATTTCCATATATGGATTGCTTTCCCTTTCTTTGTTGTTTATCTGATAGCCCTTGTAGGGAATGTCACAATCCTGTTTGTAATCAAGACGGACCAGAGCCTTCATCAACCCATGTTCTACTTCCTGGCTCTTCTCTCCTTTATTGATCTAGGTCTGTCCACTTCTACCATACCCAAAATGCTGGCCATCTTCTGGTTCAACCATAGGAAGGTAAGCTTTGAAGCCTGCCTAATCCAAATGTTCTTTATCCACACCTACACTGGCATGGAATCTGGTGTACTCTTGGCCATGGCAATCGACCACTTTGTTGCCATCTGTTATCCACTGAGGTATACCACTATCCTCACCAACAAAATGGTAGCCATCATGGCCTCTGTTGTAGTTGGGAGGCCAGTCCTCCTTGTCATCCCCTTTTATCCTCTTCTCAAAAGACTTCCTTTCTGTGGACACTACATTATTCCTCATACCTATTGTGAGCATATGGGAATTGCTCGTCTAGCCTGTGCTAACATAAGAGTCAACATCATCTATGGCTTATTTACCATTGCTGCCCTGGTCTTTGACTTGCTCCTCATTGCCCTCTCCTATGTTCAGATCCTACAAACTGTTTTCCACCTTCCTTCTAGGGATGCCAGACTCAAAGCACTCAGCACATGTGGTTCACATGTCTGTGTCATCTTAGCCTTTTACACACCAGCATTTTTCTCCTTTATGACTCACCGATTTGGTAGAAATATTCCTCATTACATTCATATCCTCCTGGCCAATTTGTATGTGGTTGTTCCTCCTTGTTTAAATCCAGTCATTTATGGGGTCAGGACAAAGCAAATTTGGAACAGAGTTGTGAGAATATTTGTCAAGAAAGAGGGACCTAATATATTAGAAAGTTGAAAACTTCTAGCTGGCTAACTTTTATCTCATACTTCTCTCAGAGTACCAGCTGAAACTATGAAAAGGTTAGTTAGGAATTACTTTGGCCTTTATTAGAGTCTTTTAAGTGTATAACTCAGTGGTTCCATTTTATAATTTATATATTAATTTATTTTTTATTGAAGGATAATTGCTTTACAGAATTTTACTGTTTCTGTCAAACCTCAACATGAATCAGCCATAGGTATACATATAACCATTCCCTTTTGAACCTCCCTCCCATCTCCCCCGCCATCCCACCCCTCTGGGTTGATACAGAGCCCCTGTTTGAGTTTCCTGAGTCATACAGAAAATTCCTGTTGGCTATCTATTTTACATATGGTTTCCATGTTACTCTTTTCATACATCTCACCCTCTCCTCCCCTCTCCCCATGTCCATAATTCTATTCTCTGTCTGTCTCTCCATTGCTTCCCTATAAATAAATTCTTCAGAACCATTTTTATAGATTCTGTATATATATGCATTAAAATATGATATTTATCTTTCTCTTTCTGACTTACTTCACTCTGTATAATAGGCTCTAGGTTTATCCACCTCATTAGGACTGACTCATATGCACTCTTTTTATGGCTGAGTAATATTCCATTGTGTATTTGCACCACAACTTGTTTATCCATTCATTTGTGGATGGGCATCTAGGTTGATTTCATGTTCTAGCTGTTGTAAATAGTGCTGCAATGAACAATGGGGTACATATGTTTTCTTCAATTTTGGTTTCCTCAGGGTATATGCCTAGGAGTGGGATTGCTGTGTCATGTTGTGGTTTTATCCCTAGTTTTTTAAGGAATATCCATATCGTCTTCCATAGTGGCTGTATCAATTTATATTCCCACCAACAATGCAAGAGCATTTCCTTTTCTCCACACCCTCTCCAGCATTTATTGTTTATAGACTTTTTGATGATGGCCATTGTGACTGGTGTGAGGTGATAGTTCACTGTAGTTTTGATTTGCATTTCTCTAATAATGAGCAATGTTGAGCATCTTTTCATGTGTTTACTAGGCATCTGTATGTCTTCTTTGGAGAAATGTCTGATCAGGTCTTTTCCCCACTCTTTGATTGGGTTGTTTGTTTTCCTAGTATTGAGTTGTATGTGCTGCTTATATATTTTGGAAATTAATCCTTTGTCAGTTGTTTCATTTACTATCATTTTTCCCCATTCCAAGGGTAGTCTATTCAACTTGCTTATAGTTTCCTTGCAGTGCAAAAGCCTTTTAGTTTAATCAGGTCCCACTTGTTTACTTTTGTTTTTATTTCCATTACTATAGGTGGTGGTCAGAGAGGATCTTGCATTATTTTGTGTCATCGAGTGTTCTGCCTATGTTTTCCTCTAAGATCTTTATAGTTTCTGGTCTTACATGTAGGTCTTTAATCCATTTTGAGTTTATCTTTGTGTATGGTGTTAGGAAGTGTTCTAATTTCATTCTTTCACATGTAGCTGTCCAGTTTTCCCAGCACCATCTATTGAAGAGGCTCTCTTTGCCCCATTGCATATTCTTATCTCCTTTGTGAAAATAAGGTATTCATAGGTGCATGGGTTTATATCTGGGCTTTCTATCTTGTTCCATTGGTCTATAGTTCTATTTTTGTGCCAGTACCATACTGTCTTGATGACTGTAGCTTTGCAGTATAATCTAAAGTCAGGAAGGTTGATTCCTCCAGTTCCATTCTTCTTTCTCAAGTCTGCTTTAGCTATTTGGGGTCTTTGTGTTTCCATGTGGATTTTGAATTTTTTTGTTCTAGTTCTGTGAAAAATGCCATTTGTAAGTTGATAGGGATCACATTGAAAATCTATAGATTGCATTTGGTAGTATAGTCATTTTCACAATACTGATTCTTCCTACCCAGGAACATAGAATATCTCTCCATCTGTTTATGTCATCTTTGATTTCTCTCATTAGCATCTTATAATTTTCTGTGTACAGTTCTTTTGTCTCCTAAGGTAAGCTTATTCCTGGATATTTAATTCTTTTTGTTGCAATGGTGAATGGAATTGATTCCTTAATTTTGTTTCTGATGTTTCATTCTTAGTATACAGAAATGTAAGTGATTTCTTTGTATTGATTTTGTATCCTGCAACTTTGCTAAATTCACTGATCAGCTCTAGTAATTTTCTGATACTATCTTTAAGGTTTTCTATGTACAGTATCATGTCATCTTCAAACAATGACAGCCTTACTTCTTTCCGATCTGGATTCCTTTTATTTATTTTTCTTCTCTGATTGCTGTAGCTAGGACTTCCAAAACTATGCTGAATAATAGTGGTGAAAGTGGACACCCTTGTCTTTTTCCTGAGCTTAGGTGGGATGCTTTCAGTTTTTCACCATTGAGAATAATGTTTGCTGTAGGCTTATCATAATTGACTTCTACTATGTAGAGGTAGGTTCCTTTTATGCCCATTTTTTGAAGAGTTTTTTTTATCATAAATGGGTACTGAATTTTGTCAAGGGCTTTTTCTGCATCTATTGAGATTACCATATGGTTTTCATCTTTCAATTTTTTAATATGGTGTATCACATTGATTGATTTGCATATATTAAAGAATTCTTGCATCCCTGGAATAAACCCAACTCGATTATAGTGTATGAGTTTTTTGATGTGTTGCTGAATTCTGCTTGCTAAAATTTTGTTGAGGATCTTTGCATCTATGTTCTTCACTGATATTGGCCTGTAGTTTTCTTTTTGTGTGTTGTCTCATCTGGTTTTGGTATCAGGGTGATGGTGGCCTCAGAGAATGAGCTTGGAAGTGTTCCTTCCTCTGCAATTCTTTGAAAGAGTTTTAGAAGGATAGGCATTCACTCTTCTCTAAATGCTTGATAGACTTCTCCTGTGAAGCCATTTGGTCCTAGGCTTTTGTTTTTTGGGAGATTTTTTTATCACAGTTTTAATTTCAGTGCTTGTAACTGGGTTGTTCATGATTTCTATTTCTTCCTGGTTCAGTCTTGGAAGGTTGAATATTTGTAAGAATTTGTCCATTTCTTCCATGTTATCCATTTTATTGCCATATGGTTGTTCAAAACAGTCTCTTATAATCCTTTGTATTTCTGCATTGTCTGTTGTAACCTCTCCTTTTTCATTTCTAGTTTTGTTGATTTGATTGTTTTCTCTCCCTTTCTTGATGAGTCTGGCTAAAGGCTTTTCAATGTTGTTTATCTTCTTTTTTACTTTTTTTCACGTTTTTCCTTTTAATCACGTTTAACGTTCTTTCATTTCTTTGTCATTTATTGCTGCTCGACTCTTTATGATTTCTTTTCTTCTACTATTTTTGTTGTTGTTGTTCTTTTTCCAGTTTTTTAGACGTAAAGTCAGGTTGTCTATTTGATGTTTTTCTTATTTCTTGAGGTAGGATTGTATTGCTATAAACTTCCCTCTTTATAACTGCTTTTGCTGCATACCACAGTTTTTGAGTTGTCGTGTTTTCATTGTCATTTGTTTCCAGAAATGTTTTGATTTCCCTCTTGATTTCTTCAGTAACTTGTTGGTTATTTAGAAATGTGATGCTTAATCTCCATGTGTTTGCATTTCTTATAGCTTTTTTCTTGTAATTGATATCTAGTCTCATAGCATTGTGGTCAAAGCAGATGCTTGATATGATTTCAATTTTCTCAAATTTGCTGAGGTTTGATTTGTGACCCAAGATGTGGTCTGCCCTGGAGAATGTTCCATATGCACTGGAGAAGAGGAGTATTCTTCTGCATTTGGATGGAATGTCCTGAAGATATCAATGAGATTCATTTCATCTAATGCATCAAATAAGACTTATGTTTCCTTATTAATTTTCTGTTTTTATGATCTGTCCATTGGTATGAGTGGGGTGTTAAAGTCTCCTACTATTATTGTGTTACTGCCAGTGTCTCCTTTTATATCTGTTAGTATGTATCTTATGTATCAAGATACTCTTATATTGGGTGCATAGATATTTACAATTGTTATGTCTTCCTCTTGGATTGATCCCTTGATCATTATGTAATGTCCTTCCTTATCTCTTGTAATATTCTTTATTTTAAGGTCTATTTTCTCTGATATGCCGATTGCTAGTTCAGCTTTCTTTTGCTTCCCATTTGCATGGAATATATTTTTCCATCCTTTCACTTTCAGTCTACATGCGTCTTTAGGTCTGAAGTGGGTTCAGCATATATAGATAGCATATATATGGATCTTGTTTTTGTATCCATTCAGCCAGTCTGTGTTTTTGGTTGGAGCATTTAGTCCATTTACATTTTAAGTAATTATTGATATATATGTTCCTATAGCCATTTTCTCAATTATTTGGGGTTGCTTTTGTACATCTTTTTTCTTCTCTTGTATTTCATGATTATATAAGTACTTTTAACATTTGTTGTAAAGCTGGTTTTGTGGTAATGAATTCTCTTAACTTTTGATTGTCTGAAAAGCTTTTTATTTCTTCATCAATTTTGAATGAAATCTTTGCCAGATACAGTAATCTTGGTTGTAGATTTTTCCCTTTCAGCACTTTAAATATATTCTGCAATTCTCTTCTGGCCTGTAGAGTTTCTGCTGAAAGATCAGCTGTTGAATGTAGTGGGTTGCCCTTGTATGTTACTTGTTGCTTCTCCCTTGCTGTTTTTAATATTCTTTCTTTGTGTTTAGTCTTTGTTAGCTTGATTAGTATGTGTCTTGGCGTGTGTTTCTCCTTGGGTTTATCCTTGGGGCTCTTTGTGCCTCTTGGACTTGACTATTTCCTTTCCCATGCTGGGGAAAATTTCAACTATAATCTCTTCAAAATTTTTCTCATACCCTTTCTTTTTCTCTTCTTCTTCTGGGACTCCTATAATTTGAATGTTGGTGTGTCTGATATTGTCCCAGATGACTCTGAGACTGTTCTCAGTTCTGTTCATTCTTTTTACTTTATTCTGCTCTTCAGAAGTTATTTTCAACATTTTATCTTCCATCTTATGGATTTGCTTTTCTGCTTCAGATATTCTGTTATTGAATCCTT